TACTTGGTGATTTGGTACCTAAGCTCAGGTGAGAGACTAGGGCTAGATATGTAAATCTGGAAGTCATCTTCATAGAGATAATTAAATCCATGGGAGAGGACGAGATCACCAAGTGAAAGAATTTTTAGAGAAAAGGGAAGAGGGTTCCAGAAAAGGACTCGAGAGTACATCCATAGTTAGTGGGCATGATCTGGATGAAGATCCAAGGTCCAGTGAGGGAGACTAAGAAGAAGCCGTAGGACAGTTAGGAAGAAAAGCAGGAGAAAGCAACGTCTCAAAAACCCAGAAATGGAGAGTGTACAAGGAGGATTTTGGGAAAGGAAGAGCTCCCTATTAAAGATGTTTTGGATAGGGCTAGGAAAAAGGCATTTGTGTGTCTTATAGGGGCTGTGGTTGAAAAGTGCTTTCCCCTTCTTGTCTTCTCTGCAGACTGTGGGATTAGAACAGCACCTTTACTGTCTGACTTGGGTGATGGGTTGGTTAGTTTTGTGGAATAGCTTTTTTTTTTCTTTTCCATTACAAAGGAAGGCTCATTTGGTTAAGAAGGGAGAGGAATCTATTTGGTTATGGAGGTGATGTAAAAGCAAAAGATATCAGTAAAATTATTTTTACGTAAGGAAATAAAAAATATATGGTATGAAATAAAAAAGAAAATTGGACTTCCAAGCTTTATCCCCCAAATGGAAGCATGGATGCAATTTAAATTTTCCCACAGCTTCATTCCTGAACCCTAGAGATAGCTTTAAAATGCATTTATTAAAAGTCATATTTGAAAGTGGTCTTTATTGCCCTTATATGTCACTTCCTAGGAAGATGCCCATTTCCCATTCCCACCTCTGGTTATAGATGAATTATATTATGAGTAATTTGAGTATTGTACAAACTGTTGGTATTAACACAAGGAGCCTAGGAGGCAAGAAGATCAGGGGATCTAAGAAGGGCATCAGCTTCTCTCTTACCCTGGGAGTTCTGCAGCCAGTGCAGAAAAGCAGAGAAAATAGAGCCTTTACTCTTGGTATTGACCCTTTCACTGGTCCCCACAACTCTATCATTAAATGGTGGGCAAGTACAAGGGAAGACCATCAGAGCAGTAGGACAGTATTTAGTCTATCAACATGAATTTATTAATCACTTGCTTTGTTCAAGTCACTCTTCTGGGATCTTCAGATAAAAAGACCAAAGTGAGATAACAGTGCTGCCACCATCAAGAAGTTAACATATTGACAGGATACAACAGGTTCATGGATAAGTGAATAATGGATATATACCAATGTATCCATTATTCACTTATCTGTGAACATGCTGTATCTATTAATATATAATATATGTGTATGTATATCGTGATTTCAGGGGCAGCAGTACTAACAACTGGGGAAATCATGAAAGACCTCTTGAAAGATGTAGAATTAGATCTGAGGAGGTGGTGAGAAAAGAGAGCATTGCAGGCATAAGAAAAAGCCTAGATAAAGTCATGGAGGTGAGAAATAGATTGATTTGTATAGGGAACACCAAATAAGATATTTCGACTGGAATGCATTCAAGGGGGAATAATTTGTAATCAGCCTGGGAAGTTATGCGAGAGATAGATTGGGAAAGGCAATGAATGTAAAACAGGGGACTTTTTATTTTGCCCAGGGTGACCTTGGGCAAGAAAGTTGACTTCCCTAGGCCTCCATTTCCTCATTTGTAATATGAAGGGCTTGGACTAGAAGGCATGTGAGATTCATTCCAGCTCTGATTCTACAATCCTGAACAAAGGTTATGCTATGGATGGAGAGAATCAGACGGAGGAGAGAAACGTGGAGAACATAGGCTGAACAAGGCTAGGGAGCTGATGAAGAATGGGGAGCGAGGGAGGGTCCATTCCAGATGACTCCAAGGTTGGGATGGTGCTCTGTGGGTATGGGCTTGCCCCTTTGTGCATGCAGTGTCTTCTCCTCTGAGGAAGGGTTGTTGCGTGTATATTTTCCTTTATTCTTGTCCATAGCTGGTGAATTGCCTGAGGCTACTGTCTTGAGGATTACCAGTAAGGTCATAGGCACAGAGGTAGTAGATATCCTGGGAAAGTATATAGCTTTGTAAAAGCCTGGGGTTGCATAACCTGGGTTCAAATCCTACCTCAATACTTAGTATGTATATGACCTGAGCAGGTTACTTAACCTTCCTGGGCCATCTGTAAAATATGGGGGTTGACTAGATCACTTCTGAGGGTCTCCTATTCTATGATACTTTGACTTAGCATTAGAAGGGATGATAGAGATCATGTCATGAAACTCACTGATTTTATAAATGGAAAAAATAATATCGAGAGGAGAATTGACTCATCCAAAGTTACAAAACTGATAGAGGCATAAATAGGACTTGAATACAGGTCTTCTAACGTCAAATGCAATTTTGTTTTTTATTCTACTTCCCTGAAACTCAGTTTCTTTATCTGTAAAATGAGGATAATACCATCTGCCTAACAGAGTTCTTTATAAATGATAATTACATATATGTATATGAACTCTTATTATTACTTTTAGTCATGTACCCTTGACCTAGCTTAAGGGATCTGGCACATGGATCCTTAACTTGTTGAGCTTATGGTTCAGGTTATGATAACTATCAAATGGCTGGCCAGTGCACACTAAAGGACACTTTTTTTTGGGCAATTGGGGTTAAGTGACTTGCCCAGGGTCACACAGCTAATAAGTGTCAAGTGTTTGAGACTGGATTTGAACTCAGGTCCTCCTGACTTTAGGGCCAGTACTCTATCCACTGGGCCACCTAGCTGCCCCATAAAGGACATTTTAATAAAGGGCATAGATCTCTCTCTTCTCTCTCTCTCTCTCTCTCTCTCTCTCTCTCTCTCTGTCTCCCAAGTTTTTCCTTTCCATTCTTACTTCTTCCTGTTGACCAGCCACTATGAGAAAGAGTTTCTCCCTGGGGAAGCACAGGCTGGAATAGACTTTTTCTTATGATCAACCCTTGTTGACTTGGTATCCTCCAGATGTGTCAGTCATCCAGCAGACGATGGGCTGCCCAAAAAGAGTCCTGCCATGTGGTATAGTGGGATGGGGACTGGACCTGGACTCGCGAGCTCTCTGCTCTGATTTTAATTAGATAAGTGTACCAGGAGAAGTCACCTTGCCTCTCTGAAACCTTACTTCCTCTTTCAATTAAGTGAAGATAACAAGGTTTGCTGTGAGGAAAAACACTTTGTGAATCTTAGGGGACCGTTTTTGTTTTGATTTTGGTCTTCCTATCCCTGCTACTTAGCACAGTGCCTGACACATAGTAGTACTTAATAAATGCTACTTGACTGACTATAGACATGTGAGTTGTTATATCTCTAGTTCTTTCCCAGCTATCCTTGCTTTCCCTCCTCTCCACTGTGCTGAGTCGATGACAGTCTGTGACTGAGGGGAGAATGCACATTCTATCCACGCAGTTCACATTTAGCTCTGTCACAGACTAGCTGTGTATCTTCTTCCCCTCCCTTTCCCTCAGTTTCCTTATTGGTAAAATGGGGATGAGAATACTTGTTTTACCTCCTTATCTGGTTGCCATCTCATATCTGTTCTGGAAAGCTGATTGTTAAATCTTCAGAGTGAGCATTTAAACCTCAGAAATCACAAATGCTACAAATCAGGGCTTGATGTATTGTTTTGTTGATTGTCTAGACTTATTAAAGTGACAGAGCAAATGGGAGTGATGCAGGTTAAACTTAAAAGTGTGTCATATTTATATATATTTTTTTCCTTCAAGAGAGCTGGTTGTTAAACATTTGCCAGCATACCCTTGACTATGACTATGGAACACTGAATATAATGTCAGATATTTTTGGACTTGTTGGTAAGGTTTGCTGTGCTGGTTTTTTTGTTTGTTTTTGTTCTTTGTTATGAGTGATGGCTTTCTGGAAGAGTAAGAGTTGAGACTATATTGGGAAATGTAGGTAATATAAAAACAAAAGATGTCAATACATTAAAAAAGAACCCTAAATAAATCATGTCAAATTCCCTTCTGCCTCTCCCCAAAATATCTGCACTATATGCCTCTTGGAGGACATTTTCTTCGTATTCTCTCAACAGGCAGTCAGAAAAAATGACGGATCTTAGGTTGCATTAATAAAGGTCTAATATTCAGAATGAGGGAGATGATGGTCCCCTTATCTTCCGCTTGTATCAGGCTGCCTCTTTTTGAGCACCATGTGTTAGAAAGCACAAAAAAGCCAGAGTATGTTCAGGAGAATATGAATGATAATTGATTGAAAGAATTGAAGATATTTAGAATGGAGAAGACTTTGAGAAGACATTATAGTTGTCTGCAGATATTTAAAGGGTCATCATGAAAAAGGATTAGATTTATTCTGCTTGGCCTCAGTGGACAGAAGCAAGAATAATGGGTAGATGTGGCAAAGAGGAAGATTTCAGCTTGATATAAGGACAGCTTTCTCACAAACAGAGAAATGGCCAGCTTCTGGGGGTAGTGAGCTCCCCTTTTCCTGGAGGTTTTCAAACAGAGGCTAGAAGGCTACTTGGAAGGAATTGTTGCAGAGGGAATTATTGGGGTTGTAAAGGGTTGAATCCCTTCTGATTCTGACATTCTATTATTCTGTGACAGAGGAGTCTCTGAAAAAATTTAAAGAAACATTTGCTGCTCTTCAGTCATTTCAGACTCTTTGTGACCCCATCTGGGTTTTTAATTTTTTTTTTTTTGGCAAAGATGCTAGAGTGGTTTACTATTTACTTCTCCAGCTAATGAGGAAACAGAAGCAAACAGAATTAAATGACTTGCTCAGGGTCACAGAGCTAGTAAGTGACTGAGGGTAGATTTGAACTCAGGTCCTTCAGACTACAGGCCAGGCATTCTATCCACTGCACCATCTAGCCACCCTGAAAAGAATCATGCCAGCCTTCCGTGAAATTGTTATCAAAATATACAAGGAATTCTGTTGTAGATATACTTTTCTTTACATCTTGTAGCTTCCTTTCTCACCTGTTCACCTTGTGCCCTAGCTCTCCCTGCCAGAATGGAGGAGCTTGCATTGATGACAATGGGCTTGCCTCCTACACCTCCTGCCTGTGCCCCGAGGGCTTCTCTGGCAACTTCTGTGAATTGGACCTGAACAGCTGCATCCCAAATCCATGTGAGAACGGAGGTATGTGCACTGATATCGGTGGGGACTTCCGTTGTCGCTGCCCGCTGGGGTTCATGGACAAGACCTGCAGCCGACGTGTGGGGGACCATTGTGCCAGTGGTCCCTGTGAGAATGGGGGTACCTGTGTGCCTCATGCCAGAGGAAGCTTTGAATGCCTCTGTAGGCCAGAATTCTCTGGGCCCACTTGTAACCATGGCCACCCAGGAACCAAGACCAAGAGGGGTCCTGGGCTGCCTGACCACCTTTCCTCTGAGATGCAGGGCAGGATTGCCACCCATCAGCCCAACCACGGAATGCTGAAAATCACCATGAGGGAGCTCACCAAGAACAGTAAACCTCTGCTTAATGAAAGCCAGATCATCTGTTTCACCATCCTGGGGGTTCTGACATGCCTGGTTGTCCTGGGCACTCTCAGCATTGTGTTCTTCAACAAGTGTGAGGTGTGGCTTTCCAATGCCAAGTACAGCCGTCTCCTTCGTAAGAAAAAGAGCTTGCTTCTTAGGTACAGCAATGGTGATGAGCATACCATTAACATCATCTTACCTGAGAAGATGAATCTGAAATCCTACAGTAAGTGCCTGAATGAGATATGAGCACACAGTGCTGCCCTCACCAAGGCCTTCCTCTACAGAGTCTTAGGATGTGTTATTTTCAAGTTTGTGATTGTGTGCTGTGTGGTTAGGAGAATAGCTCTATATCTGTGTGTATATTGTATTTATGCTACCAGGGAAACTTTCAGACCCAAACAGAGATGCTCAGAGAGCAATTTGACTCCAACAGTGGGATTTTGCAAAAGTTTTAGGTCTTTCCTTAATGAAAGAGAAATGATGTGGTGGCAAGGACCCTGGATTTCTTTTGAATCACTGCTCTGCCAGTTACTGCCTATGTCACCTAAACACATTACTTCCTTTCTCTGAGCTTCAGTTACCTCATCTTTAAAATAAAAGGAATCGTATTAGGTGATCTAAATTGTCCCTTCCAGCAAACAGCCCTATTCTTGGCTCTTTCACACCTTTTCCAGTTCACCATTCAGTTGATTGGCTAGCAAAGCAGATCTGTTAACTAAGAGTGGAGAATTTCTTCATAAACTGTAATAGTCCATTGATGAGAGTATGCTTGGTAACTTTATCCTGGGCATTTGTTTTTCCCATGTTCATTATTTCAATAATTACAGCATTTGTGGTCTAAATGTATAGAAGGAGTATGTATAAAAGTGCATTTGGAAGCCTAGTAGAATGAAAAGATCAACCTTGAGCTCAGAAGATCTCCGTTCTCTTTTCAGATCTGCAGGTAACTTTCATGAACCAGGTAACTTTCATCTTTGGGGGGGTTTTATCTCTTATTCTGAAAATTTAAAGAACTTAGATTCAAAAACACTCAAACTATAAAATCTCACAGTTTTGTGATTTTTCTTTAAATAGAAGAAAGTAACTTCTATGAGAATGGATTTAGTCCACCTGAGACTTACATATAATTCTTGTCAATTTGATTAATTCTTCCTATTTCGTTTTTTATCAAAGCGAGTAACACTACCTTCCATATAAGTATGGCCATAACAAATTATTCTGTTTATACCAAAACATGTGAATTTTGTCAACAACTATTTCAGCAGACATGTTACTCAGAAAATAAAGTGTGAGGACCTATAGCCATTTATGTCTACATCCATATCATCCCACCAATTTTTTGATTCCTTAGAAACACTATCTTGAGTGAAATGATGTTACAGGGGAGTAGTGAGTTCCATGGGCTCAAATATTAAGATGAGTAATTGAACAGTGTCATAGCATACTTTTGTAGCCATGTAGAGGAGGTATGATTATAGCATATAAATGCTAGTGTTACTTAATTATGATCACTGGAACAAACTGTGCTAAGATCTCAATAGACAGAGAGAAGAGGTCTTGAAAATTGGCTCCACAGATAACATATTGAGTATTTGAAGGAAATGTACACATGGAATCTTGAGATTTTACCAAATCCACTAAGATCCTTCTAGAATTTGATGACTGGGTTCAATGCCTTTGTTTTCAGGGTTATGTTGACCTTTTTTCCATGTCTTGTTGTGTAATAGATCATGTGGGAAAACCCATGTGTTGTATTTGTATTGCCAAGTAAATTTCGAGTCCAAATGTGAAAGTTCAAAAGACGCTTCCACCAAACAAGACGACCATATATATATTTGAGAAAAATCAATTCTTAATTTGTTTAAAAAGAACTGATTTTATTTTTAAATACTGCTCCTTTAAACTTAAAGAAAATGTTTAATATGCATCTTTTTGGATCCCCCATTTGGGTATCTGGCTAGTAGAAAAATGATTTATTATCGGACATAAATATTTCATCTCCCAGACAAGTTTGAACATGAGTATTTGGTTTCATTGGTATCCCTGCGCCCTGCTAAATTTTCTCCACGTACTTTTTCCCTAAGTGTTAATAATCTAAGTAGTTATCTAAAAATTCATGGAATATTTGAAGAAATAGGTATAGTGAAAAGGGTGATTCAGATCTCAGGAGGTCTGAATTCTAAGCCCAGCACTGCACCAAAAAGTTCCGTGACCTCAGATGAGGCATGCCAACTCTACAGAGCTGAATTGATTGCCCTACCTACCTGTCAAATGAAGGGATTGGATTACAGTGCTCTGGCTGTAAAATCCTATGATTTTAGAAAAATACTTACTACGATAAAGGAGTCAGTTTATCTTGGAATTCTAATTTACTCTTCTCATTTGGGTCAAGCCCACCTATATTTCCCAGAGGTTGGAACAATGCCAATTCTTTCTCCCTTTAGTGACAAATTATCTTTATCAAAATTTGAGATTGAAGCCTTAGCAGAAAAATTATTAAAAATAATGGGTCTATTCTGCAAAAGGCCCATCATCATACAAATATACCTCAATGGGAAGAACAGAGGCTTTCCTGAAAGATTGACTTTACTGAAAACAAAATGTAAACCTAAAGAAGTCATCATAATAGTAGCTAGGGTGTGCCAAGGATTACAGGCTACTTTCTCACAAAAGCCCTCAGAGGGATAAGGATTATTATATTTATTTTGCAGATGAGGAAACTGAGACCCAGTATAACTTGCCCCAGGTCCCATAATAAATTTTGGAGACAAAATTTCAACTAAGATTTCCTGTTGCCCACTCCTCTTGGTGTTACATGTATTGTCTCTAGTCTGCATGAAAACTGAGTTTTTACTAAGGTACTCATGGGGCAACTAGGTGGCACATTGGATAGAATACCAGAGCTATAGTCATGAAGACTCTTCATGAGTTCAAATGTGGCCTCAGACACTTACTAGCTGTGTGACCCTGGGCAAGTCACTTAACCTTGTTTACCTCACTTTCCTCATCTGTAAAGTGAACTGGAGAAGGAAAATGCAAATCACTCTAGTATCTCTGCCAAGAAAACCCCAAATGGGGTCATGAAGAAGTGGACATGACTGAAATGACTGACCAAACAACAACCTCAATAGAACGGACCTTTCAGGTCTTCCTCAAAGGTTGGGTCTCAATCAATGGACTGAAATCCTAAATCCCAAATGAAAAGGGTGGTTTAGTAGCCTTATCAGGCACTTACAAGGTACCATCACAACTTATTGCTTAGTCAGTTTTCTTTCAGATTTGCAGTTACCTTACTACTATATTTCATATATATATATATAAACAAATATATGTGTGTTGTGTGTGTCTGTGTGTATCTTGTATTTATATTACTGAGTAAACTTTCATGCCCGAAGAAGAGACCCCACAGAGCAGTACAAGTAGGATTTGGATTAAGATAATTTGATTTGATTTTTAAAGAAAAGTGCATTGACCCATTATGCAGTCAGAAGAAACTTGCCATCATTGGCCTCTTGGACTCTCCCAATATTGTGGCAGCCTAAAAAAATAGCTCTTGTCAACTCAGAAGGAAAATTTACTTCTCAAAAAGCTCTTTGTAAACTTGAATGCCCTCACTGATGGCTGATGTCCGAGTGCCACCTTAAACGTTAAACCTCATTCTGTCCTATATACTCATCAAGGAAAGAATTCAACTCCTCATGATTGAAACATCCAAGGAAAGGAAATGGAGAATGCAAAGGAGGCAGTGCTGCCTGTTGGGAGGACTGATCTAGCACTCACTAGGATCAAAGTTCTAATCTTATTTCTAGTATTAGCTTATCATAGGACTTTGGGGGAGGTCACTTTAAGTATTCTCTCCTTCAATTTGCCCATGTTTCAGAGGAGAAGATATATTCCATTACTTTCCAACTCTTAAAAACCTATGATTTTTTAATGAAGGAAAACCTTCTGTGACCAAGAAGGATTCATTCCTTTTTTGCTTTATAAGTAGTCCCTGTCATATGGCTCTGCCAGTCGGGCTACACCTCCATTTATTTTTCACTGTTATGAATTCCACCAGCTGCCCTCCTTATTGGAGAAGATTAGTCAAGTTTTTAAATTGCAATTTAAGATGTGGTGAAGCATCTGACCCTGTAGGATCTTAATGAAGAGAGAAGTTGCACAGAGACTCATGAAACAACAGAAATAACTCACATACAGAATAGAGGTATTTCTTACAAGATGGCTCCATTGCCAAATTAATTTAGTGCCTCATTTTAACTCCCTCTGCTTCAGTTTCCTAATCTGAAAAATGTGAGAGTTTAACTATATGATTTTTAAGATTCCTTCTAGCTCTAAATGCGTCCTCTGCCAGAATTCTGACAAAATGAAATTCATTTGGCAGACCGGCACAATTGAAATATAACTAGCTCTAAATCAGAGCTCTATGTCCAAATTCCACCCTTGATATTTATTATCCATGTGACGTTAGGTAAGTCATTTAACTTTCCCGGGCCTCAGTTTCCTCATCTGTAAAAAGAGGACTAGATATTTTCTGAGACCTCTTCCAGATCTCAATCTAGTAACCAATGATCCTGTATTACTAATGTCACTGAGTCCTCCCTGGGTTTAGGCCAGTGGCCTCAGATTCAAAAAGTAATGTATCTCTGCTGGCTGCGTATTGACTAGAAAACCACAAATTAACCTTATGTACGTTGGGTTACATTTTTATTTATTTTGTTCAATATTTCTCAATTACATTTTCATCTGGTTTGGGCTAGGCAGTTTTCCTGGCCCTAAGTTTGACATTTATGGAGAGGACTGTGGCCTTTACAACTCATTCTTATACTTGTAGCTGATATCATCCCTAGATTTTTCACTGAGAGTATAAAGATACAGGTCTGTATGATATAGCTGGGTTGCTGAATCAGGTTTTGAATCCAAACATGGGCAACCCACTGAAAAATCCAAAACACAATGTGATCAAAATTCCGTTTTTTTCTTAAAAGAATATCTAGTTTTCCAAAGGAAAATTTCCTTCAACACCCTTTGAATCTCTTGTATTTGAGTGGCTGTTCAGAAAAAAAAAAGCTCTTGTGAAACAGTTGTGGATGTTTATCTTTTTTTTTTAATTTTTAATTTTTTATTTTTTCCATATGCTTTTGAGTTGAAAATTTTTCTCCCTTTTCCTCCCCCCCAGCCTCCCCAAGAGGGCACACAATCCGATATAGGCTTTACATCTACATACCCATTAAACATATTTTCACATTAGTGAAGTTGGAAGTAAAAATTAAAACCAATAGGAGGAACCATCCAAAAGATGAAACAAAACTCAACAGAAGGCAAAAATAAGTGTTAGCGATTTGACTTCCATAGTTCTTTCTTTGGATGTGGACAGCATTTTCCATCCCGAGGCCTCTGGAGATGTCTTAGATCCTTGTAATGCTGAGAAGGGTTCAGTTTAACAATCTTAGTCATCGATACGCGGCTGTTATTGTGCACAAAGTCCTTGGTTCTGCTCACTTCACTCAGCATCAGACCATAAGTCTTTCCAGGTTTTTCTGAAGTCAGCCTGTTCATCATTTCTTATAGCACAATTGTGGATGTTTATCTTAATAAATACCTTTTAATTAGCCCAGGGCTAATTACAGTCTCTTGTCATTGTCTATAGCTTCCGATTACACGTCTTTATTCCTTCAGGCATCAACACTGCAAAGATGCTTGATTCTCTTTGGTGCGGGTGCTCCTTCCACTGACAGATTACAATCCCTCCTTATTTTATTAGGTGGTTTAATGAATTGTGATAGAAGAAAATCTCATCCCCAGATTCTGCACCAGGCTCATCCTCTGAAAACATTGTCAGGCCCATAATGAAAGCTTTTTCAGCTTGGTAGGAGCTCTCAGAGTTTGTGTTCCACATGCATGGCCTTCAAGGTCCAAATGTGAACTGCAAACCTCTGCAAGAGGACTTTAGTAAAGTCTTATGAGTTCGAGAGTTACAAATTCACATGAAGGCCAAATATTAGGCACCAGGATGAAAGATAGTTTCATTTCTCGACATAGAAGAATCTCATCAGTTTGAGGCTTTGCTTGACCCCTTATTTCATTGACTCATTTGTTCCATTATTGACATTAAGTGCTTACCATATGTAAGGCACTGTGCTAGGCAGTGGGGATATAAAGTCAAAACACAACAGTGCCTGCCCTCGAGGAGCTTACATATCTATGGAGATACACATCATGTACACAAGTGGCCTATGCCATAATAACCCAAATAATGTAAAGGAAAGCAATGCTAAAAGACATCAGAATTCATATTAATATAA